CGGACTTCACGTGAATTAACTACCCTCCATCATCGATTAATGGACTTCAGATCGATTTATTATCATATGATATTTATTTATATTTTATTAATAATTCAATATTTAGTCTGACATTGACGGATCTGTCAGTCGTAAACAACGTATGCTTTGTTAATAGGTTAGCAGGTGGCGCTACTAGCAAACAATAATTTATTGAATTATTTTAACATAATTTAATTTGTTTCCACTATAAATAATAAATAAATAATAAAATTAATTTATTCAATTTTAAAAATATTATTTTAACATAATGTATCTATATAATTTGTTTAAAATATAAATAATAAATAAATATTAACATTAATTTATAAAATTTTAAAACTATTATTCAAATTTAAATTTAAATTTACCACCTTCTTTTAAAAAATTCAGCGGACTTTGTTTATAAAAACTTACCAATTTATAAAAGAACCATTTGACAGATTAAGAGTTTAAGTTTGAAAAAAAAAATTCTTCAAAAACGATACCTTTAAAAATGAGCCCTTCATGATGCGCTAAAGATTACAAGATTAATTATCAAAGATAAAGTGTTTAAAAGCGCAGCGATTTTATTATTTAAAAAATTAAATTGATAAATTCAAATTTATAAAAGTTGCAATATTTTCAGTTCTCATCAACGAAAATTGATGTTTTCTTTTTAATTTTGGGTACCATCGATCATAAAAATACATTTAGTTAATTGGTGAATTGTTTAGATATTTAACCAAGTAATTTGTTAAAACAATTTAGAATAAATATTTATTTTGCAAAAAAATGTACTCTTCTCTTGGTTAGATTAATAAACAACTTGAATATTTATGTGTATGTATTATAGTTCTCTTCGGAGCGATTTCCGTTGTGGAAATTGAAACGTCAATAAACGTACTTTAACCTTTAATTATGGATTATTCTCATTTAAATAGTAATTACTTTAAATTGCCACAAGAAAATAGCTTCAGAACAATATTTTGAAAAAAAGGTATTAGGATGCTTGATTTCCATTCTTGAGGAATTCTGTTTTGTTCTATTATTTTTTGGAGTAGTTCTGAGGTTACGACAGCCAGTCTCAGGCTCGAATAAAATGTGGAGTGTGATTGGCAAGGTTAGCAACCTACCATTCATCAAAACGAATAATGCTCAAAGAAACAATGTACGGTCTTACAGATAACTGGAACTTAACGATAGCTAGATACAGTTGGGATTCAGAAAAGGGCTAGGCACTAGAAAAGTTCTGTTTGTCCTAAATGTTCTTACATAGCTGTGCTTGGACGTCAATTAAGAGATACACACCTGTTTCATAGATTTTGTTGCGAACGCACAAAAGGCCCAAAGTAATACTATAAAAAAGAGAAAATTGGAATACTTGGGCCATCTAATGCCACAACAAAAATGATCATTGCTACAAAATACAATACAAGATAAGATCGAATGAAGGAATACGAACCACTGAATAATGTCTTAGATGAGAAATTTACGAGAGTGTTTTAGTTGCACTACAAACGAATTGTTTATAGCAGCTGTAAATAAAGTTAGAATACCGAATACCGAAATCCAATCTCCGATAGGAGAGGAACAGAAAGAAGGAGAACATAAGTTAAAACTGTTGAACAAAACCTGTCAAGTTGAGTAATGGTCTGTGAAAATTAAAAATAGTGGTTTTGTTTTAATATATATTTATGATTAAAAATGAATTATTAACTCCATAGTTTAAAATGAAAATCATCATGACATTGGCGGCCAACCTTTATAATGAAAGAAGGATAAAAAGGAAGGTGTCAAGTGGTATAAATACGAGCAATATGTTAATAATTCTTGACATTTTTTAATGAATATATTGGTGGAATGAAAATGATGTATTTCTATTTTGACAAGACACTTTTTATCACTTAATCAATTTCTTGGAACATGTGACATGTTGTGTTTAAACATAATTTACCAATTAATAACACGGTATTTTGATGTATAAATGTTTATCTTTTTCGGTACATATACATAGTAAATATCTGTACATGTTTTGAAATATTATCCATCAAAACTAAACGTATCGGTATCAACAAATATTTTTAATGAAATTAATATATCTTTCCTTGAAATACGACATTATGATCAGAAAGTATTATGGTATAAAAGTGACTAAAAAAATATAATATCAGAATGCAAGGATGCACAATTTGTCAATTTAATTTATTAATAGTACATAATATATAATAACTTTGCACTAGTAAATCCATACCTTAGGATATATTTGATTTTAAGTTTTTTTTTCGTCTATATACAATTGAAGGGCTTAATGTGAAACAATGACAAGTCTCAAAAAGGTAAACGTGAGACATTTGACTTTGAATGTTAAAAACAATATAAAATCCAGTAACAACTTTTGTTGTTTTAGTATAGATATATATGTCGATGCATCATGCCCTATGGAACTATAGTTACAACGATATTGACAAAATTCCTCCAAACTTGAGAAAAAAACAGTCATACATTAACAATAAATACCCAAAATCTTATTTAATCAACCAGCTCGGCAACCTCATCAGCAACATCAGGGCTGACATCCTCTTGTAAACTATTGTCGAAAGGGTGATACACTGAAGTTATGTTGGGTAATAATGATCTCACATTTTCGAGTTTCTTTTTTGCAATCTGAATAGGCTCAATATACTTCTGTTGTAAATCAGATACAGAAAGCACAGACAGGGATGTCCCTTCTTGACAACAGTAACGGGGTTGTAGGTACAATTCACAGAATGCTTAACGTAAAATGATTTTCTGTTATCACTCTGGAATAAAAAGGAAAAAACATTTAAAAAATTTAAAGATTGCTGGTCATCAGTGCGAGTACTCTTTTTAATGTTCTCTGAGAGTGCTTGTACATTGAGGAAATCTTCCTGCTTCATAACAGTTGAGTTGAAGGGCTTCTTTTTATTAGATTCTTTTATAATTTTATGCCACTTCTCAGCAGAGAGTACAAGCGGAGCATACTTTCTATGTCGTTTTTCTATAAGGTGAGGTGAGTGTGTCCGCTGACTAAAAAATGGTTGTAATATAATTAAACTTTTGTTCCTTCACTAGCTGGACTCACAAAGAGATTAAAAGCCCGTTTTTGTTGTGCTCGGGACAATTATCCGTAAAGAAAACGAGCTGTTCTACTTTACCTATATTTGAGCTATGAGTATTGATACAATTTCATCACTTCCTCTTTTTGCAACGTTTTTCGTCCAGACAAACATATGAGCAGCGTCTTCCGTACAATCATGGATTCCTAGATTATACATCCATATTTTCCTGCAGTAAAATCCAGGACCAATGGTTAATTCGGGAATTGGTAACGCTTGCTGTAAGTCAAACGATATAACACATATCTTCTTATTAATTTTGGACCGGGCGGCTTCGCTCTTCAGTAATTGTTGCATTACCTGAGCCTTACAGTTGTACAAAACAATTCGCTATAATCTTTTTTTTTCTGATTTTGCTGACTTTATTTGGATATTAATTTCGTCGCATGTCTTGCTCGTGTCTGATTTTGGAAACTTGAATCCAATATTATACGCGGTACAGAATATCTTACGCTATTTATGCTCTTTAACTGGTTCAATTCCTGCTTCTTTACACCAAGGGACATATCGATCCGAATAGACACTGGCTATACTCATGTTATAGTCCAGGTAAACTTTATTAATGTTCTTGTGTAGACTGTAGGGAGTTTGATACTTTGGAATCGAATGTATGTGGTTTTTAACACTTACTATTTCCGAATCAGATATTCTGTTCACACGGTTTGTATGCTTTCCTCTGTTGTCTCTTTTTGGTACTAGATTTCCTTCTCTCTTCTTGCCAACAATGTTATTTACTCTGCCCTTAGAAGCTTGAAGTCTATGAATATTTAAAAATTCTGTTTTACAGACACGTGTAATTTCACCATTAATATTAATGGAGTAGACTGCATTGCTCTTTCTATGCGATTCTTGATGTTTTTGCTTCTTTCGGTAGGACCTTTTCTTTTCAACAATATCTATACATCCGAATAAGTAGCTATTTTTTAACTCCCATTAACCAAGGTTCCAAAACTCGTTAAAAATATTGCTCTCATGGCCCTGAAGCTTTTTCCTACACTTCTTAGTGCAACTGCAAAGCGGTTCCAATTCTCGAACAGGTACATTTTTTTCGTTTTGTCGCTTACATATGTATGGTCGGCCTAAATTTCGTTGAATTTTTCTTTTTGGATCTCGAATAACAGTGTGCATTTCTTTGTCACCATCGGCTTTTTGGAGCTTTGTCGGGTATGTTTGGTTTTGTACTTTTTCTTGACGGACCTTGTTCATTATCCTATAACAAAATGCAATAATATAACAAGCCATGTCACAAGCTACTACAATCTTACTTGAATCTTGAATGGTAATAATGCGACAAGCCACATTTAACAAAAAAATTACATATCGCTGTATTTTCATCACTTGAGTCACTTCTAAATATACATACTCAGGATCACGGTCACGTCATCAAACGTCGACGTCGACTTAAGTATTTTTCTTGCTAGAATCGTTAAAACTCACAGAAATATCCGAATCGCTTCCGCTCATGTTCGCCATTTTAATATGGCTTGTCATTATGTCAAGCAGATACTAAGACAAATTAGACCTATGCAACAGTGTTGCCATAGGTTTGTCGCGCCATCTATTAACGAAGGGCTGAAATAAATTTTTGGTGGCTTCTCATACTATTACTTTAACCGAGCATAGCATTAACTCTTTTTGAACTCATGTGTGACTTGTCATTGTTTTACATTAAGCCCTTCAGTAACAATCTGGTCATAGATGACCAATAAAACCCCGTACATGCGTCTCTACTAAAGCACCCAACTGTCGTAACAGACAACGTTGGCCACGACGATTTATGTGTGTATAGGCTTGTTGATCGACAAAAGAGTCGAGATCGAGAAGTCTTCGCAATGGTGATCGCCAACGTCGGATAATTCTGATATGGCACGCGAAGAAGAAGACATGACGGTCGGACCGACTGATCTGGTTGTGCAACCTGTCGAGTCGGGTCGTGTGTAACTTTGTTGGCCAGCCTCCGACCTGCGATCCCAACACGAATCCTGTAACTCCTGGTAGCCTTTGGGAGTGTTCAGTCCACAACAATGTCTCAAATACCGACGGATGAGAAAACCACGATTGAGGGATTACTGAAAAGCTACATAACTTCCTGCTGTTTGTGGAATATTCAGTGTGATGCGTATTCAAATCGAGATCGGGGAATGAAGCATACACTTCTGTGCTGGAAATGTTTAAAACAGTTGCAACGTAGGCAATTTTGAAAAAGAAACTGGAGAATCTGAGAACTGTAACTGTGTAATGGCCCTCTTTTAGAGACATTATTTTGAAAAGACAAATATCAATAGATAATAAAATAAAATATCTCGTATTTCAGTACCTAGTATCACCGAGGATATCATAATATTAATAATATAAACACGTTTTGTAGGACGGTGACCGTGAATTGATATCTGATAATCTGGTCACTGATCACGGTTATCGAAGAGAGCGAGGAAGGGCGTTATCGGTGATTTAACAATCACTGTGACTAAATCACCGGTAGTGAAATCACGTCCCATTACTAGGTCAAAACGGACATTTTGGGCTGGTTTTATAAAACAGAATGTTTTCGTATTTTAATTATTAATTGTAACAGAAAGAATAAAAAATTCTTGAGGGTATGTTAAGGCTTTAGTAACATATTAATGCTTTGATATTCGTAATTTTAATAAAGATGAGGTTTTATAACCAAAAACTTTGACCAAAATTAAAATTCTACAAGTAAAGCTAAAATTTACTTTACTCATTTGCATGTTACATCTTCCCTAAAATACATTTTTGATTTTAGCCGATTGCACCGACATAGACGAAGAAGCAAATGCCCACAGCAACAAATCCAGCAGCGCCAGGCAGCCAATTTGAGAGAAAGGAAACGAATGCAGTCAATAAATGACGCTTTCGAAGGATTAAGAGCACACATTCCCACCCTTCCGTACGAAAAAAGACTGTCGAAAGTAGACACGCTAAAATTAGCGATAGGTTACATAAATTTTTTAAGTGAGTTAGTAAGAACAGATAAAAATTCAAATACTGAGTTTTTCAACGGACACAATAGGAATCTACGGCAAGATGAACCAAAGAAAATCATTATTAGGGGTAAGTGAAATGATTATCTGTATATTGTTGCGTTGTTCTGTGAATTCGGAGATTAAGTGAAGCATAACGTGGTTTAACTAACTTCTTTAACTCAAAAACTTAATGACAGATATCAAAATTACTAATTACATTAATAATTATGGCTTACAAAACAATTCGCACTGATACGGAAAATCGCAAATACTAATAATCAAAGGGCGCCTCGGCTGGCTTATATAATGGTAAGGAGATGCTCTGGAAAACAGCTTACCGTTCGACGTAAACTGTTTAAATTCTCGAAGGTCATCTCTGCATCGCTAGAATTGGTTTGTAAAATAATTCGTCGGTAAAGAGAGATTTATGTAATTTGCTAAAGCACAAGACTGCAATCAGGAGTATGTGACACAACATGACACCTAAATGGGCCAGGCCGGTAGATTGTCTCCGAGTGGACGACATCCGACTTACTCCGTGACGTCAATTGCACGCTATATAAAAGGTCATTTATTTGCTTAGTGATCAAGTACGGTCCTCCTAGTGCTGCTTTAACTTGGCACCCCGATCTTTCCTTCTTGTTGGTTGGTAGAGCGAGACTACATCACCTTGCTTGAAGCTAACGTGAAAGAATTTCTAATCGAACCCAACTTTTATCCAATAACTGGTGAGTTGCAGCTTATTGCTGGCGAAATCGTGGTCCTTAACCAACCGATCCTTTAGGCCGCTGACAAACTCGGAGAATGTCTCCTGATCCGCATCTCCGTCTGGTAGGTTGCCATATAGAAGGTTGATGGGAAGCTTCATCACTCGACCAGTCAATCGTTTTGATGGAGTATAACCAGTGGCTTCAAGTTAAGAGCTTCGGCAGGCTAGCAGAAACAGATGCACTAGTTTGTCAGTGTCTCTGTGGTCTTCATATACAGAAAGGGACAGGTAGTTGTTGATGGCCCCGTTTAGTCTTTATACCATGCCAAACTAATCAGGGGTATATGACTCACAACAATATTATAAAAACCTACTCCCGAAGGTATCCCGAAATTGGATTAAAACTAAAAATATCTCGGGAAATACTGAGTTTAGATATAGAAAATGCTTTAATAAAATGAAACAGTACTTATCATAAATAAAACATTTTGAAAAAATAAAATACAGGGTTGTACATTTAAAAAATTCGAGAAAATTACAATTTTCTTGTGTAGTTCACCCTGTATACGAATATGTTAAACTTAATTTAAAAACTATTGTTTCCCTTATTATGTAAAATGAATAATTACAAATAAATGAATGAATAAGCAAATTTTGTGAAAAAAAATCAAACCATATTTTCACAATTTGTACTTGACATGACAAAACGCGAGGGGTTGTTTTATCTTCAGAAATATCATAACACGACCTAGCGTCATACAGGAGAACAATTGTCAAAGTATTCGAAATTGATTATCTAAGGGGTCATAGGGCGTTTTGTCCCTTTTTCGATGGTGGTTTCCCGAATTCGATTATCGATGGTAGATATTACACCCTCAAGGGCTATTCGTTACGCAATACGAAAAACATCTGCTTTGAATAACATAATAAAGCAATAATCAAAAGCAAAAACTTTTTAAGTGTTTCCATTGAAATTTATGTATGCATTACATACATTTATATATACATATACATAAAAACTAAATAAATCACTTTAGGTACTAAATACAAACATTTTGATTTTTTTTTTTTTCGATTAAATATGTTAATAATTAACAATACCTAGACAATGGCAATATCATATATTGCTAGACATAATTATTTTGTCGAGAAATATTTTAATATTCTTTCCATCATTTGATTAACAATGTAGTTATTTAAAAATATACAAGGTAAGTCATAACTATTGGGACATAGACTAAGGACAGGTTATTTGGACCGAAATATGGCTATTGGGCCAAATATGCCTTAATAAAATGTTGCTGAGAAAAAAGATACAGGGTGTTAAAGTTAATTTTTGTTTTTCGTTTTTTGCTAATAGTTTCCCTGTATATTTATAAATTGCTATCAAAATTGGCACAGAGGCATAATCTTAGACAAGAAATAGTAATTTATTTACAATTTTACGTTTTGTCATAGAGGGCGCCACGTGGATCATTCCTAATGATCAAAATGAGTCTAAACTTTTTCTGATAAAACTTTTTAGTAATTTTTATTAGAAAATATGAGGTAAACATCATTTTTACGTAAAATTGGTACTCTTGTTTAAACATGATAATTTCAACCGTTTTCGATAAAAACTCAGTCGAACTGCTTAGCAGTTCGACTGCGTTATTATTTAGTCGACAAGCATATTATTTTATTTATGAAAAGTATGCTTTGTACTGTCAGATAATTGTTGTTGGTAAATGTCATTTGTTCAGAGTAAATTATTTTTTATGTGACAGTGTAGTGTAATGTTGCATTTTTTAAAAGTAATCATTACTTTTTTTGATTGAAATGCCACGTCACAATCATTTTACTAATGAAGAAATGCGAGATATGATTTGCGTATACTCACAAGAAAATTTTTGCGGTCGCTCGGCAGCCAGAAGGTATGGAATGTTATACGCAAACAGAAGGCAACCAAATCACAAACTTTTGCAAGATTTGTGATTTGGTAGAATCAAATGTGATTTTCGTAGTTTAGGTGAAACTGGGTCATTTCACACTAAAAATCGGGGTGGTCGACCGAAACAAATCACACCTAATCAAGAAGATGAACTTTTGGTTCGAGTAGATGAAAATCCTTAAATAAGTTCACGACATCTATTAGCAGCAACAGGAGTAAGTCAGTCGTCTATTGTTAGAATTCTAAAAAAAGAGAACCTCCATCCTTATCACTTCACTCCTGTTCAAAATTTACTTCCAACAGATCTTCCACGACGGTTACAGTTTTGACAACGTATTCTGAATAAACATCGCAATGACAGACACTTTATTAAGAATATTATGTTCACCGACGAAGCAACTTTTACCAGATGAGGGGTTTTTAATTGGCGAAATAGTCATTATTGGGAAGAAGAAAACCCTCATGCTATTAAAGCTAGACATTTTCAGCATGAGTTTAAATTAAATATTTGGTGTGGCATTATAGGCGACTAACTACTAGGGCCTTATGTTCTTCCTCCGAATTTAAATGAAGATTCTTATTTATTCTTTTTGGAAAATACTCTTAGTGATATTTTAGATGATCTGTCACTGGATGTAAGAAGAAAAATGTGGTTTATGCAGGATGGAGCGCCACCTCATTTTTCATTAGCTGTTAGAAATCATCTTCATGACGTATTTCCTCAACGATGGATTGGCAGACGCAGTGATTTTCAATGGCCACCAGGAAGTCCTGAGTACAACTCGCTAGATTTTTATTTTTGGGGAAATATGAAGTCCTTAGTTTATGCCAATGAAAGTAATACACGAGACGAACTTTGGAGATACATTCAAAATGCAGCTAATCTTATAAGGGGACAGAATAATATTTTTTAACGTCCGAAAATCCTTTATAAAAAGAATTAGAAAAGGCATAGAAATCGGAGGAGTCCATTTAGAACATTTAGTTCGAGTTTTTGTGAGTTTTTTTAAGTTAAAGTGTGTAGTTTTGATTTATCGTCAAAACGGAAACCTTACGTTAGTTGCAACTTTGTTTATTAGTTTGGTAGTTGATAGTGGAATTACATAATTGATAGCAATTTATAAATATACAGGGAAACTATTAGCAAAAAACGAAAAACAAAAATTAACTTTAATACCCTGTTTTTTTTTTCTCGGCAACATTTTATTAAGGCATATTTGGCCCAATAGCCATATTTCGGTCCAAATAACCTGTCCTTAGTCTATGTCCCAATAGTTATGACTCACCCTGTATATACCAAATGATTTTCTTTATCAGATTTCCTTATAAATTCACTTGGTTACTCAAATTACATAAATTAAGATTTTTTATTGTTTTATATAAATCAATACTCTGTAGATCTTCTTCTTCTTGTAGTGCCTATCCCTTTCGGATGTTGGCGACCATCATGGCAATCTGTATTTTGCAAACTGCGGCTCTGAAAAGATTTTTCGTTGTTGTGTTGAACCACATACGTAGATTTTTCAGCCAGGAAATTCTTCGCTGTCCTTGTCCTCGTTTTTCTTAGCAACCCATATCTTTCCCTGTTCCTCATGATGTGACCGAGGTATTCAATTTTGTCTGTTTTTATTGTAGTTAACAACTATTTTCCTTTTTGCATTCTTAATAAAACATCCTGGTTAGTAACGTGGTCGGTATAGGATATCTTCAGGATTCTACGATAAATCCACATTTCGAACGCCTTAATTTTCTTGCAGGTAGCGTCTGTGAGAGTCCCCGACTCAACTTCGTACAATAGAATAGGAAAGATATAACATCGCAGTAACCTGATTATTATGGGTACTGCTAAATCGTGGCATTTGAATAGCTTAGCCATTTTTTGAAATGCAAATCTTGCTTTCTCTATCCTAGATTTTATTTCTATATGGTCCCAATTTTCATTGACGTTCGTACCAAGGTAGGTGTATGTTTTTATTCTTTCTATTGGTTGACCATTTACACTGATTCTTTCAATTTGCTGTTCCTTCTTAAAAATCATCATAAATTTTGTTTTCTTAATGTTTAGTGATGAAAATGAAGGGACATGGCGTAATGAGGGGAGAGCGATATGAACTGCTAAGGCTGATAATACAGGAAAAGATAAGAGGAGGAAGGAGTATAGGAAGAACGAGAGTGTCATGCTTGAAGAATTTAAGGGTCATGCTTGAAGAATTTAAGGGCCTGGTTTAAATGTAGTTCTATAGAACTCTTTAGAGTAGCATTAGATAAAGTAAAGACATTAATTGTTAATTCGAGTTCCAGCTTCAACATCTTCTACTGCTTCTTGAAAGATTGCCTCAGAGTATATGTTAAACAGCAAGGGTGATAGTATGCATCCCTGTCGGACCCTACGTTTAATTTTGATATCATCAGATTCTCCTGCCACTCTACGGATAGATGATGTTTGATTCCAGTTTGCTAATAATTTTTAGATCGCAGGTATTTATTCCAATATTTGTTAATATCTCCATCAGTTTGTCGTGTTTTACTGTATCAAATGCTTTATGGTAATCAATGAAGCATGCATAAATATCGCAATTCAAATCTCTACATCGTTGAAATAGCACTTTTATGCTAAAGAGAGCCTCTCTCGTACCCACTGCGTTCCGAAAACCAAACTGTGTACGGCTGATTTTTTCTTCTTCGTCTTCTTTGTTTCCTTATCTTTTCGTCTTCTCATATCACATTTTTTGTTACTATTCTTTTTTGTAACCTTTTTAAATCTAAACCTAAATTTACCAATATTAGGAATATGATATGACAATACGCCAGCACCGGGTAACTTCTAACTGATACGCATCCATTACGGAATCTCTTGTTCACTATAACGTAATCAATTTGATCCCTAATTATGTTTCCTAGTTGATCTTGCGGAACAAGATACAAGTTTGCATTAGAACGTATTCCATTGGCATTAACCAAACAATGATTCATTATACTCCTGCTAAAGATGTGAATCGTAGAACCCTGCAGTATGGATTGGTTCAGAATCGGTGGAAGATCTTCCATCGCTAAAATTAATTCAATCCATCTTGTGATCTTCCATAACAAAATCAAATGTACTATATATGCATTGATATTAAATGGAACTTGGAAAATGGACCAACATGAGCAACACCGTATTATCACTAACTTTATACATTTTACACATTACGTAAAATATTGTTCTGAAGCTATTTTCTTGTGGCATTGTAAATTAATTACTATTTATAACTGGGAATAAGCCACAATTAAAGATAAAAATACGTTTATTAAGTATTAGTAAGTCAGTAACATATGGAGGATACATCATTTATGTTTTTAAATAACGTAACATATAAAATCAGAATTTTTGATGTTTATTGAAGGTAAACTAAATTCACGAACAAATACTTACAATGTCGGGATAGTATTATGAGGTTTTTTTTCCTGGTTTTTCCCTCATAATTTACTATGGAATCACTAACAGGAGAATTTTACTGTCATCATGTCATGTGTTTGTCTTTTTAAAGACGAATTAGATGCTATGATTTTTTCTGACGGATATTCTCAAGTTAAAGTTGATTTCATGTAATCGAATGAACTATCTTATAAGTAAAGTCGTCCCAGGAACGCAACTCAACAATATTGGCAATATCATTTTAAAGTCGTCTACTTTAAAATGCATAATGTATGTCTGAATTGTCAATATAAATGAGTCAGATAAAATTAAATTATTAGAAGAATTTTTTCACTATGTAACAAAAAACAAAATTTGTTTAATTTACTGTTTGTATTTTGAGAACGATTTCCGAATTGGAAATTGAAACGTCAATAAACGTATTTTTATCTTTAATTGTGGCTTATTCCCAGTTATAAATAGTAATTAAATTACGTAAAATGTTTAGGACTTTGAAAATTGACGACTAATATTGATATCATGTCTTTATTTGCATCATGGTCACTAAATTAGTATTTAAAAATATAAGTAAATTTGAGAACAAACTTTTTCCTTAAACATAGTATATTAGATAATGAAATAGTACAAACCTTATTTTTTATTTTAGGTGGTGGTGGTCTATATACAGCTCATTCATTATCATGGTCCAGAGTAAAGGAGCCTAATCCAAACGGAATAATGCATGCCAAAGTATGGATTCCTGAAGACCCTCGAGCCAACAAAGAAGGTGCTAACAGTTCATCATCTTCCTCTTTTAATGTATCGGAATAAATTTTGTTACGTAGAGGTGATAAAAAAGAAAAAAGATATTATTTTAAGTTGCAACACAAATCCATTTGTAGGTTTTATAAGGGATGTACAAGTGATTTAAAATTATTTAATCTAGTCAACTCTAGTCACAAGTATTCGTACGGCAAAAATATTGTAAATATTATTAATACGTTGATCATTTTCTTTATTACTTTTATTTTTTTTATTGGGTTAATGCCTCGACAACTATGATCATTGGCATGGTACAGTCAGGTACCTAGTGTAGTGTGTGTGTGTATGTAAAGTAATTGTCTTGATACATAGCAAAGTCGACGTCTTTGTCTTTGCTAAGAGACGCTAATTGTATCAGAACGTCTGCGGTCCCTCTGGTGAGTACCGATCGCACAAGGATAGAAATTATTTTCATTCATTAACAAAAATTTCTCCACCCAGATGAGATTCTAACTCACGACCTTTAGGTTTAAAGGTAGGCGCTCTTACCACTGAGCCACAGAGGGGGTTACTTTTATTTTAACATGGTATAAAAACTAGTTTAGTAAATTGATAGTTCATTATATAAAATAGTTACTAGTTTTTTGTTTATAAGGCCTTTTTCTAGTCTTAATTAAGACGTTGTGGGGCCTATTTACTATTATAAGATTCAAATAGAGCTATCAAAATTGAAGAAAGGCAGACCAAAATGTATAAATATTATTTTATTCTGTGGTGTTTTGTCTGAAAAAAATTATTCTTTGGTTATAAACAAGAATAATAGGGTCAGTCATAACCTATAATCCAATAGTCACTTTTCCTTTGGTTTTGATGTTTTTCAAGCTGATATTTTTTCCATTAATCTTGGTTCATGGTGATTTTTCTACTGCGGCTCCTTCTTCTGTGGCTTGTATGGATCAAAGCCAAAGGACTGATTTACTCCGTTGGTGACTTTTGAGATGCTTCCGTGAATTCATTATATAAAATAGTTACTATTTTCTTGTTTATAAGGCCTTTTTCTAGTCTTAATTAAGAAGTTGTGGGGCTTATTTACTATTATAAGATTCAAATAGAGCTATCAAAATTGAAGAAAGGCAGACCAAAATGTATAAATATTATTTTATTCTGTGGTGTTTTGTCTGAAAAAAATTAACCTTTGGTTATAAACAAGAATAATAGGGTCAGTCATAACCTATAGTCCAATAGTCACTTTTCCTTTGGTGTTGATGTTTTTCAAGCTGATATTTTTTCCATTAATCTTGGTTCATGGTGATTTTTCTACTGCGGCTCCTTCTTCTGTGGCTTGCATAGATTAAAGCCAAAGGACTGATTTACTCCGCTGGTGACTTTTGGGATGCTTCCGTAAATTCATATTTATTCTGTGTTGTTCTATTTGTTATATCCTAGCTCGTCAGTGCGAATCATCAAGAACAAACCTAGCTAACCTCTACCAGCTTTTTTAACTGCATAAAGAGATGATTTAGACCATTTGATTTAGCTAGATTAAATGCGATTCGCTTGATATCAGAACGCGTTAAACTATAGAATTTTGCTTCTTTCTGAGGGATATAGTCTACCAAAGATTTTTCTAAATCTGGGCCTAGAATAGTTCTCCCTTCCAATTTCTTAAGTACTGCTTCATCTGGACTCAGTTTAGTTATTTTTGCTTAATGTTGTAATGTTGATCTCGGGAAATTATAAGTTTTAGATGCTTTTAAGCATTTTATACCCATCGTTGTATCTCTTACAGCTTTAATAGCAGTTTTAATGATATCTGAATCCCAGAACTTTCGTTGTTTTGGACTTTTAATACTTTTTGTAGGCATTCTGAAAGGAAAGAAACCCTGTTGTCTAAATTGATATAAATACGGGCTAGCTTATATTTGTAGCACCATACTACAAATAAAGCACAAATTAAAAGAAAAAGTCGAAAATATTATGAAAATATCAACATTTCGCTTACGATGTGTGATAAAATATTTGTATATATTTTCAAACTTTATTGTATGGCTTGACTTGCGTTACAATTTTCTTCTACCCATTTCGATCTGTGAATAGGTCCCTCCAGTGTCTCACTTCCAAGATTTTGATATCTCTGATTATCTGGTCCTCCCATTTCTCTGTAGGTCCTCTTCTTGGTCTTTCAGTTTCTGATTTCCAACTGGAGTCTCTTTAATACCTGTCCCAATCCTAGATTTTACTTTATCATACATGACTCCCACAAGCATCACATACTCATCTAAAACTTCAGTGTACAGAATATCTTGAGAAACTCTGCTATAAGCCTACAGTTCAGTAGCATTCAAATGATTTCATGCTTGTTATTTACTTTTTTATTGGTTAAGTATAAAATAATATATTATCTCATATAATATATATGTTATTGTATATCTCATATATAATAACATATATATCCTTGAGTGTCATGGGAGTTGACAACTACTGCAAAGGATGAGCTGGAGATTCTATTGAACTTACCACCTTTACACTATGGGGAGATCTACAGTACACAGGCTACAGCAGGGTCAGGTTCCCACAAGCGTAATGCAACGGATATACCAAGCAAGGTTACATTAGAAAATAAAAACAGATTCTGTATTAGGAATGCCATTGGGTCGAATAGTTGCGATTCCGAACAATAAAAAAAATGTTCAAATTACGATACCAGAAAGGAAAGACAGGGAAATTGGCCAGTAATAGCAAGCTCTTTGAAGAACCATAATATCTTGTTTAAATTTATCCTTGAACCTTTTGCAAACTATTTTAAAGGTAATTGATGTTTCTTTTTATTAAATGTACCGTTGCATATACATAAAACTGCGTAGAAAAAAGAATGTTTGTGAAAAAAATTGGGAAAATGGCCCAAAAATGGTATGAGTAGTGAACTTTGAAAAATCTTATCTCGGATACTATACATCTTTTACCAAACGTCAATTTGGAGAGGAAGGATAAATTTTTTTTCTGTAAAGCAATACCTATACCTACACCGCCGTGGAAAAAATTATGGGACAAAAAGGGGAAATCACATTTTTTGGTGTTTTTTTGCTTCGTTTTTTTGAATATATTTTTGTCAAAAAAACCTAAATTTCCTATCAAAATGTCACTTTAAAAAGTGACATTTTGATAGGAAATTTAATTTTGACCAACTTTTCTGTAAATGCATAGGTACGAAAAGTGCAAAGAATTCATCCAAATGTACCCTAGTACATAGGGACTAATTCACCCCTTTCTTAAAAACGCCCCCCTTTTAATGGTAGCACTCCGCGGTTTTTTCATATTTGAGGGTCGATTGATCATATGAAACAATAAAATCCCTTAAACGTTCTAGTTATTTTATAAAGTATATAATCAATAACCTACTATACAAGTTGACTCATGTGTGGAATCGTTTGAATATTCTTACTAGGATTGAAAATCGAAATAGTTTCACACTAGCCTAGATAGTAGAACGTAGGATTTATTGGGGCAACGGGAAAGCTGATGGTACGAAAAATCATTGGTCTGACAAGGAATATATGCAATTTACTTAAGTTAAAAATAAGGTATCTATACATTAAACTACAGGTATTATTTATTAAGATTAGGCTTTTAAATTTTATACTCTTTGATCATATATTATTGATAGAATTGTAAATTCATCTCTTCTAAAAATCGCCATTACTAAATAGGACGACGGTAATCAACACACGATGTACAATATTTTTGCCATTGAATATGTTTATTGTTTTGTATTATAATACCTCAAATATTAAATATTATTTATCTTTTACACCTTTAAATTATTAAATTGCTTAATTCCAACAAAAGTTTTTACATATTGTAATTTATTGTTATTTTGTATATATATTGTAAATATAGTAATATAGATACATTTAAAATTAATGGTTTTCTTCATTTGTATTACATTATTAACGTTTGATCAAAATAATTCTATTTTTCTGTTTAGCTAATGTACAGGCACTTCGTCAACAATATTGTTTACCAGTCTGACCTATATACACTATAATTTACAATAACAAGAACTCCGCTAAGTGGAATGTGTAAATTATTTGGTACACATGCAGACTGTGACATACCTAACATCCACAACATACCAGATGAGTGTTTCGTTATCTTAGAATGCACTCCTACGCAATATCGCTCTTAGATTCTTTAAGTAAAAATAAGAGATTAGTATTTTGTCAATTTGAGGTCAGTTTCACACTCTGAACACACTTCTAAAACCCTACCTTGAAAAGATACACTAAATCATGTTCTTAACAACCAAAACATATTATTCGGCAACAAAAAACAAACAACTTCAGTTCACTTGACTTAAGGGAAGACAACAAGCAAACACAAAGAGGAAGCAAAAAATACCAATGGATAGACAGCTGTGAGGAAGAACAAGCCAAAAAGATAATTATATTCAAGTCAGATATCTTCAAGGAAAATTCTTTACTCCTAGAAAATTGACTAAGACTGTTAAGCTTATTATGTTTTATTTACTCACGTACTTTCTTGAGACTACATAGTTTTTTAGAAAAAAAAAATTCAAAAAATCACTAATTAAGGCATTTTTTAACAAAACATTGCAAATAAAGCATTTTTGAAAAAATACTAAGAAAGAAAAAATATTAAATTCGATAAGATACGCCTAAAAAATTTTACTGGAAGCGATTCGGAAAATTGTTTTTTCGGTATAAGTTATTTATTAATTACAATTTCCGGCACACTCGAAAAAATTTTAAAATATCCTTTGAACTTAAAAAATGTATAGAATCGAATAAAGACGGTTTGGTGCGGTAGAAATGCAAAAAAAATTAGTGGATATATTCCGTTTCTAAGCGTCTTTTTAGTGGTAAACCGCTCGCCTATCAGTGAAGCTCGTAATATCGTCACGTATCGTTCAGTTCGCAAGCTTGACGCTCGATCGTGTTGCGAATATATTGCTACTGGTAATGGGAAAACAGGACTCAATATTCTCAATTCTTTTATCGCGATGAAGAGCCTACATTGTTCTTGCCATGTATGTATGGGCCCCTTTTCAGAGATTTCAAGTGTAAACGATACATAAGAGGGGCAAAATCAAAGGCGGCAATCTCCACTTTTTCTTGTTTCGAGTTAGGGACGCCATCTGTTGCGTTTTTTTATTATCTGTTAGATAAAACTATTTGTAAGAACCAAAAGCGGTCTTAACTTTATACAAATTGCAG